TTTTTTTTTTGTTGTTTTTTATGTAATGGTTGCATATTTGAAAATCAGTTTCTATATTTTTAATTTTTAACGCCTCGTCTTTTTATTCTGTAAATATTTATACGAGGGCCACTGGTATTTCAGTGATTACTGTTGTGTGCTACCCTCAAATAAAGTTGGTTGTCATTATTATTCAGTATGGTCTACACTACACTTGAGTCACACGGAAGTGCATTTCCATAGCGCATCCATGTCTCGGTTAACTAAAACCCTATAGCAATTTCTCAGTTGCCGAAATCCGCGTTGATGAGCTTTTCTAGAGAAATACAGAAGGTTTTGTTTGTACCTTTGTGTTGCTCCTATGTACTCTTTAGCAACAAAGCAACTATATGCATTTCTTCACGATTTTACTGCCGAACATTTGCATTTGTGATATGTATGACCGATTTTACTGCCCAAATGCTTCAAGTAATATACTTTGTCACAGGTGTGAAGCCAAACTTTTTAACGTGCGATTTCAGATTTCCAAGTGCACTTGAGTCAAGTGCTTACTTGAAACTAACTTAACTTCCAGTGTGAAGCCAATTGTCATGGACCTCAACAATTACACAGAAATTGCATGCATGCGAAATGCATCAAAGGTTGCATGGAAAACCCTATGTTGCAATTGATCGTAAATTATCATACCTAAGACCTTGTTTTCAAAAAAAGAAAGTATCGAAAACGCACGCTCAGAAATTCAAACACGACGTTGGCAATAACTGCGTTTCTTTCTTTTCTTTTTTTATTTCTTGTTTTCATTTCAGTTATTTGTAAATTTGTAGCACTTTAATAGGAACTCGAGAGGGCCGGCTGGACTAAATGGCTTTCGACAATTCATTTCATTTTCTAGGAAAACAAAAGAAAATAACGTCTCACCTCATGTCTTGGTGCTTTATCACGACAAGGCAAACCAGGCAATTACCAACGATGTTTAAGACAGCGAGGATAGAGTTGGCTGTGGTTATGCCGATCTGAGCTGGAACTGATTCCGTGTATTTCGGCATTGTCCCGTGAATCTGCCAGTAATTACGTCTGATTCAGACTAAAAATCAAAAAATCAAAGTATACCGCGGTTAAAAGTAACAATCGTTTAAGTGAGATCCGTATATGAGTTAAAAACGATTTCAGATGATGGGCAGCGGCGAAGGTCAGTCCAAGACAGAATTCATAGCAAGCGCAGATCAGTGATTAAAAATGTGAGTGTCTCGGCGATGTTTTGAGGGAAAGACTAAATTATGCATTAGAGCACCGATGTATCTTGCCAAGCTTCTGTTCTTTCAAAAATATCAATAAACTAGACATTATTTACAATCCGCCAGTAACATTGTCAACACGCTCATATCGAATTATCAATTTAGATTTAAGATTGTTTTCTCGAATTTGATGTTCTTCCGGCGGATTAAGGCTCTCGAAATTGGTTTCAATTACATATTTTTTGAAAAAAGAAAAACAGCGAATCCTTTTAGAAGAAAATTTTTTTGGAAACTTAAAATTGTACGACAGTGGAACAAATGGAGTCAGCTCAATCAATATTTACTTCAGCTGTCGTAGGCGTTCAGACCTAAACGATATTGTGCACTCTTATTGTTAAACGAAAATGATGCGCTTCCGTATCTATTTCATACTTGAACGCGCCATTAGATCCATCTGCATGCATCCTGCCATCATCTCAGTGAGGTTTCAGTTTCATTGTTAACAGACTTAGCACGCCTGCAGGTTAAGTTTAAAATTGTTAGCCTCCGTCTGACTCAGTTCTTTCAATTGTCAATGGAATAAATTTCAGTGCCCAGTTTTAAAAGTCTATCATTCTGCTGTATTGCTAACGGAATTAAACTCTTTTCCTTTCCCAAAAAAATAATCTCCACGGGAAGTAGCTATGTTTTGTTCATGTGAACGTTCGTTGTCAATTGGAGGAAAATCTGACTCTCCAATGAAGAGCTAAAAAATTCAAAACTCCTTTATTACCTTTTATTTGTGTTATTCGAGGTTCGTGTTAATGCCGTATTTCTTAAATTGCCTCTTAGTAGCGTCAAGAGATACATAAGCAATAGGCGAAATTAATTTCATACGGAAGTTCGGCCGAATATATTACCTTTGCTTGGTACATTTTCAGTGATTGCTTAAATCGTAGTTCAATGTTTGACAGAGTGGTGAGATATTGTGTTGTCAACAATATGAAAGGTTCAATTCACCACAGGCCTTGCTAGCTGCCTTTTAAACACAAAAATGGCTACTAATCTTCACAGACGCTTATGCTGTATCAAATACTGGCGGTTGGTCTTAAAGGCATTAAACAAAAGATGTTTTTGAGCAATAACACTCCCTTTTTACTATAATTATACATTTTGATTAACACAACAGCTGCTTGCTAAATGAATTGACAATATGTTAATGCCATACGGTATTTTCTGGCCTGTTCGAGGAACAGAACGCTCTGCGTAGGGCGTAAGTGTCTCAAAACACTAGATCAGTCTGACAGAAATCTACCAACAGGTGAACGAAAAAGCCATGCTGTAAATTTTTTAATTTTTTAGTCGGGTTGGCTTCGATTGCTATTTCTTGGTTACACTCAGTCAGCGGGTGACATAATTTGTAGAGAAAGACTAGGTTATTTGGAGTTCTTACTTGTAATAATAACGAGAAGCCAAAAGGAACCATAAACCTCCAATTGTGAATACACCACACTTTGTTTATTATTACAAGTGCGGTCTGTGTGATGCAGACTATGTCGGCTTCACGAGTCGACACCTACATCCACGCGTGGAGGAACATAAGCGATCAACAATCGGCAACCGCGT